GTAACACGCATGTCTCCCTCCAGCAGCAGCAGGGATGGCTGACCGCAGGGGCCTCTGCCACAGCAGCCGCCTGTAGTGCTGCGTCTGGTGATGCTGGCTGATACTGCGCTGGGGGGGGCAGCCATCTGCACGCATGGGCATCAGCCCTGGGGAACCGGTCACGTCTCAAGGGTAAGGGCGGTGTGTGAAGCAGCGCTGGAGCTGTGCCTCTTCAGTGCTCCCTGGCAGCTGTGGGTCCTGTGCACTCACTTGCCGTGGCCACTGTGCCCAGCACCTGTAAACAAGATGGTATCTGATGAGCTGTTCTGTGCTTGTGTTTTGTTATTTGGGATCTGAAAGGGAAAATGAGGTAACACACTGACCAGGGCACTGGAGACTGACCAGTCTTTCTGTTGGGGTGCTAAAACAAGAAAGCCGTCTAAACACTTTTCAGATAGCCTCTTCCGTGGGAGCAAGAGTAGGAAGAACAGTCTTTAGTTTTTGCCACATCAAAGACACGCTCAAACTTTTCTCTACAGGGCTCGGAAAGCCCTGCATACTACGCTTTTACATGTCAGATTATTTGGGGAGCTTTGGGAAATTGAATACAGCACCACATTGCAGAAGTTACATTGCTGTCCGGTCCCCTCTTCTGCTCCTGCTGGCTTCCCAGCCACACTTGGGTTTATTAACCTTGGCCTCCAGAGTCAAACTCTCTGCTGTGAATGGCCAGCACCCCAGCAGGCACACCGTTCTCAGCTTGCCCTGGAACTGTGAAGAATAACCACCCTCAGTCATTTTCTCTGTGCGCTCTCTGGCCAGCTTTTCTGACATTTAACTTAATTGAGATGTTACTAAAACAAACAGTGAGTGCTGCTGCTTTCAAACTGAAGCTGCTTGCCAGCCTAACCACTCTGCACGTCAGTGTTTGGAAAGGAAATTAGAGTTGCTATTGTCAGGGAAGATGAGGAATCAGATGTATCTTTCCTCAGGACCAAAAACTCCCAGAGACCACTGGAGACCACTAGACTCTTAGTAGACAGATAGCCCGTACAGGTGTTTTCCAGTCTGTGGCATCCCAGTTATAAGACACTGTTACTTCAAGTACTATCAAGGGGAAAGAAACAAATACGAATTCTGTCAATTCTAAGACTCAGCCCAATGCCAGAGACGTTAAAATATAAGGGAAAACTTGGCTGTATCTTAGAATGGACGGGTTGCAGTGAGGACTAAAGGAAAGTGGAAAGTCCCCTGTTCATCATCTGTTCCCCTTTGTCACCTCCCACCTGTCTCGAATGCAGCTGAGTGACAGACTCATGAGCTTTGTATTGGACAAAATGCTTTGCTCAGTCCTTCGTGTTGCCTGTGTACCCAAGTTATGCATGAATTTTCAGGGACTGAGTTTAGTCCAGGGAGAGTTACAGAAGCCCTCTGAAACTGATATGGGGGGAAAGAAACTCCCAGCCTCCTAGATGTCTGTTTACGAGTTCATGTTCTCTAAAATTGAAGAATGGATTTTAGGAACAGAGGGTAAGAATAGAATATATTTATTGGGGGAAAGAAAGCTTCTGTCCGAGAGACAGACAGATGTGGTCCCGAGTGGGTTGCCAAGGACCCGGCCTTTTCTAGGGGTTTTTAGAGAGCAAATCCATGACTTGAGGCAGGTCCAAGGTGGGAGAAATGGGAAATTGCAAGGCGGGCATGAAGTGAGACAAAACTATGGTCAGCCAGCAAGATTATAATTGCTCAGGTAAAATTGATTAAATTGGGATCAAATGGGGAAGCGAGTCACGTAGCAAGCGGGCATGAACACAGAAGAGGAGAGGGTCCTGGCCCTAAGTCCAGACCCTGCTTACCTGACGGCTGGCGAAGGTGGACCTCATTCATGGGGCACCCACTTCTGCATCTCCTTTACCTTTAAGTGGTAACATCCTCATCACTGATTACTTACTGTATTTGAGATTTTGCCTAGTTTTAGTCTTCATAATTTGAATGATTTCCAAGTACCTGTGGGTCTCCAGCCTTCTTACTGGCATAAATAATTCTAGGCAAATGAATGTGATTCTTTTCCTGATAAAGATGGTTACTCAGATTTTGGAGAATTTCCTAGTCAGGTAAAATGACAAAAGATTGAAAACATTTTTATTTGTATTAGTAAAAACATAGTGTTTGCCTTCTATTTACACTGCTTTCTTTCTTTCAGTTTTTAGGAATAGCATTCCTTGGAATTGGACTGTGGGCATGGAATGAAAAAGTAAGTCAGCTGCCATGAAAACGCACACATTTAATTAGAGGATGTGTATATCTGCTTTTTGTCCTTGATCCTTTAGAAGAGAACATTTTTAGAAGATAAATGATACATACTGAAAGACTCTTGAGGAATGGAACCTAAAATGACTACTGCATCAAAATAATCACAAAAGTAACAGCTCTCGGACACAATAGAGGATGTAATTTAGAGTCTTACCAGCCTGAAACCATGTTCCCATGCAGTATTTCTTCACGTAGGCCCAAGAATTTCAGTAGTGCTTAAAAATATCACTAAACTACCTGGAACGCTTCTCTTTCTCTCTGTCTCTCTCTCTTTTTTAAATAATTTGGAGCATTAGAAATGGTATAGTACCTTCGTGTGTTGTGTTGTAAAGTGTGGTCATGTGGTATGAAGAAAGCCAGATAAAGATTCATGTTTGAGTGTCAGTGAAATTCGTCACTAATGCTAAGTAATGTGAGTAGATGGCTGCTGGTTTTAAGTGTTAAGAAATCCTTAAAGTTGAGGATACTGTACCGGCTACAGTATTGTAGAAGGAAAAATCTGGAAGTTGGAGCAGCGTGTTCTAAGTGACAGCAAAGACGCAGAGTGTGATGAGAAGGACACCCTGTGTTCACACCTCCCTGAACTGCGCATTGCACTTTTTTTTCCATACGTTTCCCTCTCAGAGCCTCCACTGGAATTCAGAAATGAAGCTGAACCCCCTCTTTGTTGCTATTTGAGGGAGACACTTGCAGTGTTTGCTTTCTCAGTATTTGGCTACAGCGAGGCCTACCTGTCTCCTACCTTGTGAAAGTGGAGGGTACTGGGATTGCTTAATACTTAGGTAAACTAAGAGCTTAAATTTTCCCAGAAAACCATTATCTTATCTCTTTGCTAGTCACTCTTGGAGCCTGACCACTGCTAAAAGACAGAAATTCTTTTGAAGTGATAAATGTATTAGGGGCCAGTACCAGTAAATAAAAAGGAAAGAAAAACTAAGAAGTTCCAGAAAATAAGACTTTAGATCCCTTGGGAATTTCTTCAATCAAAACAATGTTCAGAGAGACTATGTAGAGCAAAACTCAAAGTAAATCCTGAGTTTTGACAATTTGCCCTCAGCCAGGGTGTGGCCCAGTGGCCCGGTGGCCCTGGGTTCTACCCCTACCAACCACCCCCAAAAGTGTATCACCTTCTATTTATTTACAAAAAGGCCTTTATAGTGTATGAAATGTTTTATAAAAAATAAATATGCCCCCTCCAGCAAACAACTCTTTGAGGCAAGGCAGTGATTATATATGAAGTGCAAGGCAAATTAAGTTCTCAAAATAGAGATAACTGTATCTCCAGGAACTTTTATGTTGCATATTAATCCTCTGTTGGATGATGATTAGCTTCTGCCTTATCCTGGTTAAACTTAGAGATTTGTATTGGTGGAATGTCAGAAATTCCCCCTCTTAAAATATACAGTAGGTATTGTAAACTGGGAAGAAACTTCAAAAGGAAAGAGAAACTGGAATGGGGAAATGGAGAAAAGGAGGAAGAAAAAAAGCAAAAAAAAAAAAATACATATATATATAGTTAAGATATTTATACTACTAATTTCTCTTAGTTCATTGAAAAGATAGGTTTGTACTAATATTGTTTGGGCAATTAAATGCCTGTATCTTACACTCTGAGTAACTGACTTAAGGATAATGAGGGGTGGGGTTATAGCTCAGTGGCACAAGTACCTGCCTGGCAAGCTCAAGGTCCTGAGTTTGATTCCCAGTACCAAAAAAAAAAAAAAAAAAAGATAATAATACACAGTGTATTAACCATTGTTATCTTCTGAGTATCTTGTTTTGAATTTTTGTTTTATTTTTCCTTTCTCTTTAAAATAAAAAAGGAGTAGCTCTTAAGTCCATTTGGAATAAATAAATAAATAAATAAAAAGGAAAGAGAAAGAAAGAAAGAAAGAAAAGCCCTCCAGCTGGTTAAATGCCAGACAACCCAGCTTTTTATAACCCCTTTAATAAAAATGCATTTCTTTCTACTTTGAAAAGGGTGCTGGAAGGCATTAAATGAATTAATTGTCTATTCGAGCATTAAACCGATAGTTGGTCTTTTTGCAGAGTATTTTTCTCTTTGTGACATATAATTATCTTTTTATTTCATTGGTTGCTTTAAATGTCTCTTTGATAAAATCACAAACTTCTACACTTGGCAGTGTCTCAAAGGTAAGAGTGAAGGATGACACAATGTTGGAGAAGGAGGAGACAGTTGTCCCTTCTCTGTCAGGGCTACTTCAGTAAGTGGAAAGTTCTCTTGAGAGCCAGGGAGCTGACCGGGGTCATGCAGATACAGTGTGGCAGATCTAGGAGGCCACGCGGAGGTGGTAGAAAGCAAAGGGGGCTGGGTGTGGTGGCGCATGCCTGTAATCCCAGCACTTGGGAGGCTGAGGCAGGAGGATCGTTGTGAGTTCGAGGCCAGCCTGGGTTACAAAGTGAGCTCAAGGCCAGCCTGAACTGCATAGTGAGACTGTCTCAAAAAGACAAAAAAAAAGAAAGCAAAGGGGGCATTCTGGCCAGTGCAGGACAGCATGGGGAACCCCAATCACATGTTGGGTCTTGGTGTGGGAGGCGCAGCAGGGCCTGGTGTGAAGTCCCTGCTTGGGGAGCTTGCATCCTAATGAACACTGGGGAGGCAGTAAGTGTCCAAGGATTGGCATCCGGATCCTGGTGAGTGCTAGCAGGAAACACAAGTGTAGTTTAGAGATTGTTTATAGAATGGTAGGAAAAGGCATGGCTTTGAGGTGTAGTTGGCAACAGACTGAGTAGTGATGTTGGAGCAAAAACCTGAACAAAGTAAGAGAGCCCTGCAGGGCAATGAAGTGAGAAGAGTCCAGGAGAGAGAATAGCCAGGGTCTTGGTGATCCCACAATTGGCCAGAAGGCCAGTAGGGTTCCATGGGAGAGAACACGGACAGAAGTGGGGACAATGCAGGGGAGGCAGCAGAAGAGGCTTCGCAGACTCCTTCAGAAGCTTGGGTATATTTTAGGAAGGAGAATACCACCGGGCAGTTCAGTAAGGAGTGTCCTGATCTAACTTTGTTTTAAGATTGCTTAGTTGCTGTGAGGAAGAACTAGGGCTGGTTGTAGACTGAATGACCACACCCCACCCAATTTATGTTTTGAGGCCCTAATCCCTGATGTGATATTTGGAGGGGAGGCTATGAGGAGGTTGTGAAGGTAGAGCGCTTGTGAGTAGGATTGTTGTTCATCAGAAGGGACTGGAGCCGAATGACCCCTTGGTCCACCAAGAGAGAACACAACCAAGGACACAACCAGAAGGAGGCCCTCACTACGCACCAGGTCTATTGGCTTCTTCAATTTGTGTTTCCCCACCTCCAGAACTGTGAGAAACAATCATGTAAGCCCCTAGTCTGTATTGGTTTAGCAGCCTAAACTAAGATAAGGCTAAACACATCTGAGTTCAATGTTTGGCTCCTTCATTCATCATTTCATCTTTGTGGCTTTGGACAGCTAAATTTACTTTTCTGAGATGCCCTTTCCTTCTCTGCAGTGGAGACAGTTGATCTCACCTGATAGGATCATTGTGAGGATCAAAGAGAGGATCCCAGCATAGTGCCGCCAGGATCATTGTGAGGATCGAAGAGAGGATTCCAGCATAGTGCCGCTATGAAGTCTCACTGTAAAAAAACAGCAATTGTGCTTTAAGGAAGTAAGACAGTAGTTACTCTAAGCCAAATATGAGCAACATTGGTCCAGGAACATGGATTCAAGTTACCCTGAGTGGTATGTTCCATTCCAGAAGAGGTTACATAAAGCTTTATAGTTACAGAAAAAAAAAAAAAAAGTCAGGAATCCATGTATTTAACTTGTGCATTGATGGAATATCAGGTGGAGGTAGATGGTCTGCAGCAGAGCGGCAAAATCTCTGTAGGTTTCAGATGCTACGGCATTCTTAGCTTTTGTGTTAGTAGAATAGAGATCCCCTCTGATAGTGATACATCCCAGAAGTTGTATCTGGTAGTCACTAGAATGCTAATACTATGTTGAAAGAAAATGGCCATTAAAAGGCATTACAGATAGCCCAAGGTAATTTTGGGTCTGGATCTGCAGCATTCCTTTTCTTCAAAGTCATGGCGTCCTGTCTTTGTGGCCAAAGTCAAGCAGGCTTCAGGTTCTTCATGGAGGTGCTGCTGTTGTACAGCCCCACTGTACCCTGGAGGCATCGCTGCCTCCCCCATGTGTGAACGCCCTGGACAGGGGATTGGTTTTGTTTTAGGGACTTTTAAGGAAGAAATGATATGCATTGATCACTTTAATAACTGCAAAGGCTGTTAAGTCTTTTGGGCTAACTTTTTCAGAGGGCCAAGCTTCTGATGGGATGGCAGAATGATGTGTTTTTGTTATTGAGATAGTGTCTCACTATGTTATTCATGCTAGGCTTGAACTCACTGTGTGGCCCAGGTTGGCCTCAAACTCACAGCGATCCTCCTGCCTGGGCCTCGTGAGTGCCGGGATTACTGGCGTGCACCACCATGCCCTGCCAGAGTGATGTTGGGGGATAATGTGCACCTATAAACCAATAAAGCCAGACTGTGGATCACTGAATCCCCCAGACCAAGACTGACTTTTGCTTTAAAGGAGCCATGGAGTATTACATCCTCCAGTAGGGCTGCAGCTGGAAGAATCAAATTTTCGCTGAAGGATCAAGTTGCTTTCATGGATGGAGCCTTAAACATATTTATGTGGAGTAGAGGAGCATTGGAGGGAAAATGATTACCCCCTCATACTTCTACCAGTCAGAGTTTTAAACATTGGGCTAATATTTTAAACATCAGGCTAATATTGCAGTTGAATATAGGAAATAATTATAGTTTTACCTAAGTTCCAGATCCACCATGAAGATGCAAAACATGCCTGTTCCCAGGGGATGCTGGCTTTGGCAAAGTTTTTCAGTAATGGTAGGATCTGCTCTTTGGAAGAAACTTTAACAATT